CGTCATTTAGATAATAATAAATGAATAACGCGTAGCGCATATCGAAACTACAAGTGGGTTATATCGATGTCTGGAGACTCATAATTGAAAATAGAGTTTTCTGTAGAAAATGTGTGAATTTCATATAAATAGTTTCGCGTATAATAGTTTTCCAAATGCGTCATTTGTGTTTGTTTTTATTCTGTAATGTTGATTTGTGCCATTATGTTCCATACGAAGTTACTGATTGGCTGTGACGGACGGTTAATGAAAAATTCAAATTTCAAAGGCTTACGATGCGAAAATTTGATCGAAATTATTTAAAATCTTGAATTAAAATTAATTATTTGGTTTTTCCGTCAAATCACAATGTATTTAAAATAAGATAATTAAAATAATTAAAATATCATTCTGTGTTCCATATCGAATAATCGATTTCCAATTGTAAATCGATTATTCGATATGGAACACAGAATGATATTTTAATTATTTTAATTATCTTATTTTAAATACATTGTGATTTGACCGAATAACCAAATAATTTAATTTTAATTTAATAAATTACAATATGACGCAACTGCACTATCTTAAAATCTTGCACAAAGTTATAACTAACAGAAATGTCTGTTGCTGGTGGGAAATTTCATCCGTTATTTCCAGGAATTGAATCAACTGATCGCGTCATAATCCCGGCACACCTTTTCGAAATTCCAGCGTTCATCTCCGTAGCCACAAAACCTCGCTGCTGTGGAATTGTACAATCCTTACAGTCTTGATACGAGCTTTAATGTTTTTCTCAGGCACTCTGATCATTTGTGTCCATAGCAACAAACTGCAGCCGTTCCATTGCGCAGTACACATCAGTTCGTGCATAAACGGATATACGCGTGCGTAGCAGTTTGAACAAGAAACCCGTGCAAGTAGAAGTCTGGACACTGATAATCGATCCGCTGACCTGTTGCGTCTTGGTCGCTCTATTTAGTCACGTCACAGCTGTGGCCACGATATCACAAAATTTAATATTTCCAAATAACTTGACGTTATTATAATTACTTTTCGTGTCTTGGAGTCTGCAACTTTTCCGTCGCTGGCCGTCTGTTTGTGTCTAAGTTTTCTTTTATTTACATGTGAGTGATAAATGCGCGTCTCACCCAACGAGATTGGACACCTGCGACCAACCCCTTGAGGCCAAAGTTCATCTAAATAATATTTAAAAAAAATTCAGTCCGTCACTACTGATAGTTAAAGCAGATGGTACATATAGTACTTTTCTGGATTTCAGATTATTTTTTACTCTCATGACACAAAGAAAAAGTTAGGTTATATATATTAAATCTTGTCCCGTCTAATCACAATAAATTGTTATTAAATATTAAAATAATCATAATAATTAACATTTAAAATATTTAAAATATTATACGATGTTCTTTATCGAAATATTCGATTTACATTAGACCATCATTTTTCATGTTTCACGACATGTTTCAGTTCCTAAAAGAACTATCTTCAGGTTTAATAAGAATTTATTGTGATTAGACGGACAAGATTTAATATATATATTTATTATATCACAATATGACGCAACTTTACCATCTCAAGTTAGGTTATGTTCCCTTCTTATACTCTGAATCTATCTTAATATTACGACTCCATGAATTATACTGAACCAAAATAATTTAAAAAAAGACGATAGAAGAAGAATATTTAAATTACGAAATGTAATTATCTAAAATATATAAATCGTTTCGACGTCAAGAGGTCATATGACCTCACGAGGTCGAAAATCGTTTGACACAAAGTGTTTTTTTAAGTGTTAACAGTCTTTTTTGTAGGCGTGATTTTATATATTTTAAATAATTATTCGACACTGCACAGTATGCAAGGTTTAAAGATTATTAAATGTAGTTTAAAGCCTTCATGTTCCCCAGAAACAAGACATGTGTTTGTATTTGTAGAATTGGTGATCAATCTGGGGTGAGTTGGATTATTTACGGTGAACGGAAAATAAGTGTGTTTTTTTTTTTTTGGGGGGGGGGGTAATGTGTGTTAATTTTAATTATTGGTTGCACCAGAGATGCGACTTTAAAGTTGTCGAGACGTTCTGAGAACGAACGATATATATAAAAAAAGTTGTTGTTGACTTTACTCGAAGTTCCGGTGAAACTGGTTTCGAGTTTTTGCACATCTGAGGAACACTCATCGGTGTGTCAGTGTTAATTTCGGCATTGCATCCTCGTGGTAGATTTTGGTCTGTAGGGAACTGAATCTCTCTTTAAAAAATAAAAACTGTGCTGAACGTTTAAAACTTTTGTTGAGTTCGGTTCTTTAAATTTTCATCAGATGGTCTTCGAGTGGCTTTATGTAACGATAACAAAGACTCGATCACCCCTGGTTAGGCTCAGTTGAACTTCTGCTTGGCCCACGGTTAGCCACGAAAATACTTTGTACTGCCCTGTTCGCACGTGTGGAATTTCAGTGTTTTAAGGGTTGCCTGCGTGTTACAATTCAAAATGCGGGCATTCTATTTACATCCAGTAATTGTAAGTGTTCTCGCCCTCGGTGGACTAGTGGTTAGCCGGTTCCTTTCGGATGTTTTCCTAGTCTTTGAGGAGTGTATTTTTATGAGTAGTGAGTGACAAGCCCACTGCCTCTGCACAATTTCTACTCAGCGGTTAGAACGCTGGCCTTGTAATCCTGGGGTCTCGGGTTCGAATTTATAACTTGTGTTGGGCAAGGCCGTGGTCTAGGCAACACGGAGTTTTCCTCCGTGGCATCCCAACAATTACTCCATTCACACACAGAAGAAGGCAATGGCAAAACAAGGATCCTGTTCATATGGACCTGTCGTCAGACAGAACACTACAAATAATAATAAGATGAGGTGGTCTAGTAGTGAATCAGGAGAGACTTTGTTGAGAAATGACCACTGAATTTTGCTTAAACAATCTCATTCATGCTCGTAAGGTTCTTTTACATGCCGAAATCTACGACATGGGACCCTTCCGAAGGAGGTTGTGCTAAAGATCTTTATCACCGCTTAAAAATCCATCGACCTCGGCCGGGTTTGAACCCGCGAACCTTGGG